TTTTTTTTTTTTTTTTTTTTTTTTTTTTGGATTGTGTAATTGGATTATGGTGGGAGGAGGAGCGTTTTGTAGCTTTTTTACAGGCCGAGAAAGGGAAGAGAATCTCGAGAGATGAAGAAGATGCCTCAAATCCTCTACAAATTGTTGTTTCTAAGGTGAATTCTTGACTAATTTCCAAGGAAGTGGGAGGTTATTCCCCGCGTAATCGACCGAAACGTCAAATGTTTGAGTAAAACACTCGATGTCTACTTCATGGGGAGGTTGTTGCCCCTCGTAACGTCTACCAAAAGGTTAAATGTTCGAGTAAAACACTCGATGTTTGCTTCATAGGGGAGGTTATTGCGTTCTTAACGTCTGCTAAAAGGTCAAATGTTCGAGTAATGTCTGGTTCATGGAGAGCCTATTGCCCTTGTAACGTCTACCAAAAGGTCAAACAAGGTCTACTACTTCATGGGGAGGTTATTACGTTCTTAACATCTACTAAAAGGTCAAATGTTCGAGTCAAACACTCGATGTCTGCTTCGTGAGGTGTAATTGTAGTGTTGTTCTGTTCGACCATGTCTTGTTGACATACGAGGCACGTCGTCTTTACATACTCAACAACGTCGTGTCGCATGTCCGGCTAGTAGTATCGGAGGTTGGGGGTGGAGCAATGGCAGGAAGACATTTGTGATGGTACGTTCTTTTGCTCTCTCTGTGTGTCTTTGTTTGCTTATAAGTATGACAGACAGTGATGATTCAGGAAGTTGGAGATTGTGAAGATCTCCTACTCGCTTACCTCTGTCGCTCACTCACTGTGTGGTTCCCATATTTGCAGCTTCCCTCAGATGAGATCTTCCCATTCATCATTAATTTGATTGCTCTCTATGAATCAATCAACTTGTATGTGACGCCTAAACCAACACAAAATGATGCTTTTGTTTTAGCCACTCATTTTGGGTTAGAATTGGTTGTAATGTTGTGTATGAATTGATGAACAATGTAGCTTTTGATGAACATTTGTCAATTCTTCACATGTCTTCTCAAATCTATGCTTCATTATTACTTCTCTTTCCTTTTGATTAAGTTAAGAATGATATCCGCTAGTCGTGGGATTGGGTTGTTACAAATAATATCAAAGCCACACACAGAGTGATGTACCAGTGAGAAGGCTGAACCTCGAAGGGGGATAAGAGGTTGTGAGCTAGCAAGGACCCTGGTCCCGAAGAAGTGGATTGAGCGGTCCCACATTGATTGGAGATGGGTACGAGTGCCAACAAGGACACTTGATCTAGAAAGGGTGAGATCCCACATCGATTGGAAGGAGAACGAAACATTCTTTATAAGGATATAGCAACCTTTCCCTAAGAGACTCGTTTTAAAAATTTGGATAGAAAACCAGAAAGGAAAAACTAAAAAAGGACCATATCTACTAATGGGTTTGGACCATTAGAGATAGAACAATGAACCTCCATAATACTCTATATCTTTACTTGTAGTATACCTCAGTTATATACTCGGGATCAGAGTTGTAATAGTTTATTTCTTAAATAGAAGTATAACAAGAAGATCATGACTTTTAAGTAAATCGTAACAGTGACTATATAAGATAGCATCAAAGAATAAAACATCGATAAACAACTAAAAACAACGTTGGTGTTTTCTCGACGTTGTCTCCTCCATTGATTTTGCGTACTTATTTTGACTCGAGATATTCATATCAACATGGGTATGGATATAATATTAAGTTGGGCAATAATGTAAATATAATCCAACTAGGGTAAGTGGAAGAATATATGAAAATTATATGCGTTTGTTGGTAATATGAAAAATATGAAGGGCTAAATAGCAATAGACAAACTCAGAGAATATTTGCCAACTAGGAGGCTAAAATGATGAGGCTTTACCCAAATGCCCCAATTAGTGGAAAAATATTAAAATAATCCATAAAAATTAATATAAATATAAAAGAAAAAGAAATTCAGAAAACGTGGCAGAGGAATGGGATGCGTGGGGCCCACGTGAATGATGATATACACGTGGCAGACACGCAATGGAAGGAAGGGTCCCACGTCATCCACCATTGCCATCTCTCCTTCTCTTTTGGATTCAGTTTTGCATTTATTATCAGAAAATCACATAATTCGTCAATTCTTCAGAATTTCAGTAATGTCGATTCCGAATCTCCTGAAAACCCTAAAAACTGTCAAAGGAAATTGTCAATCCAATCCCTCATCGAAACCACTCGCGGAAATCATTTCAACGATCTTAGCTCCGGCGCCGTTCGATTCCACTGAGTCATGCTTCATCTCCCAACTCAATCCCCATGTTTTCACTTCCATTCTCTCTAATCCAAATCTTAGATCTTCAGAATGCTTCCATTTCTTCGATTTTTGCCTAAAAAATCAGCCTCTCATGTCCTTCACGCCTGATCTTCAGGCTCATTTGACCGTCATTTGCAGGCTTCTCAAGGCAAGGATGTTCTCCGATGCAGCAAGCCTTCTGAAAACTGTATCGATTGATGGAAATCTCCGCTACTCATTTGCTATTATTGCTTCGACGGTGGAAAGTTGCTGTCAAGAAAGGAAGGTTAAGGTAAAATTTTTCAATTTCATGCTTGCTCTGTACTCGGAGAGTGGGTTCTTCGACTCTGTTTCTGAAACTTTTAGCTATATGAAGAACAATGGGATTATGATCGATGAGCAGAGCTGTACTGTGCATTTACTATCGCTTAAAGGATCTAATCAGATGCATTTAGCTTTAGATTTCTTCTATCGAATGCTTAAATCAAGATTAGCGGTCTCTGTTTATTCTTTAACTGTTGTAGTGGATATCCTGTGTTGGAATGGAGAGATTAAGAGAGGTAGAGAGTTGGTGGAGGAGACGTTGGGGAAAGGAATTAAACCCAACATTGTTACATTCAATGTGATGGTTAGTGCTTGCGCTAAGAGATGGAATTTCGAGGAGTTGGATCTGATATTGATTCTGATGGAAAAGGAAGAAGTTCGTTTTGATGCCAACACTTACAAACTCTTAATTGATGGGTTCACGAGCTCAGGAAGGACTGAGGCGGCCAAGAACTTGGTGATGAAGATGCACGACGAGGGCTTGAAGGCAGACTCCCATTTGTATAATCTGATCATTAGAAGCTACTGTAAAGCAGGGGCGATCCAGAGTGCGTGTTTAGTGTTCGACGAAATGTCTGAGAGAAATATTGCCACGAATTCTGATACATATTGGGCTCTAATCGATGGTCTCTGCAAGGTAGGAGATATGGGGCTTGCAGTAGAATATGTAAATGGAATGCAGAGCAAGGGAATCAAAATGGATGAGGCAATTTTCGATGCATTGGTCGATGGTTTCTGCGTAAAGGGAATGGTTGATGAAGCTATTGAGCTGCAAATAATGATGGAGAAGGATGGGTATCAATTAAATCCATCGGTTTGTGAAAAGATTGTGTTGGAATTATGGAAGTTGAATCGGACTAAAGAAGCAACAATGGTGTTAAGCATCTTGGCTAAACGTGGGGCTGATCTTCGCAGACTGATTCCAACCACTTTGGAACTAATTTGAATTACTATGAGGCCTGAACTGATTCATAAATGGTTGATGAACTGATTCACAATAGAACTAAATTGAATTACTCTGCTGCCAGTGGCAGGCTTTCGAGCTCGAATCTGGGTTTTTACCCCTATCAAAGGCCAATAAACATGGCAATGAGCCGATTTGGAAGTTCTGTAACTGACCCTTTATTTTTTCTTGCTCCTGTTTAATGGTTCTCGGGTCGGGGATAGACCAGAGTCGGTCAGAGTCGGTCATACAACGCGCAAGCGCCAAGCTACAGGTCCTGTGGAGCTCAATGGCTGCACAGATAACTTTGTTACAAATTAGGCTTCTTTTTTTGTTGAGAACTAAGCAGTATGCTGTGCGTAGGACAGGAATGATCATATTTGTCTTCTACATTCATCTATCATAAACAAATTAGTGGAATATGTGTATTTATATACTACAAGGGACCGCTGCAACCCGAAGCAAGTCAATCACAAGGAACACCTCTCTGTACATTTTTTTAACCCGGGGGAAGTGGGGAGGGGCAGGGGCGGGGGCGGGGGCGTTTATACGCACGTAGTCATGAGCTAATACCAGGAAAAGAGACCTTGAGAAATCAAGAAAGGAAACCAAAATTCTTGAGCTACCCCTGAGGAGCTCCAGAGAGAATGGGGCCCCCCTCAATAGCTGAACCATGCTTTCTCATGGCTGGAATGCTAAGGGAACGTTTCTTCATTTTCATAGCACCAGAGGTTTTGCTATTTCTTTCTTTCTCCTTAAGAAGAGAAGAAAAGGAGCAGAGTGACTTGGATGACTTGCTTTTCGAGCGCAGGACGCGGTCCAGGTTCTGGCGATACCTATCAACTTCTCGAGCACTCATTTGGCCCTTGGTAACAGATCCAGCCTTTTCCATGTCCTCATTGTCATCATCTAACCAGTAACCATGATTCACGTCCAGCATTGCCAGATCATCATATTCTTCATCTGATTTTGTCGACTCTTCATCGACTGAGCCTACCTGTGAACCATCATGTAAAATATTCAAATTCTGATCCTAAAGCTTCGCTACCATACCAAGCATGAAGCAAATTACTAAACAGCATTAATATAAATAGGATCCAATGCCAAGACAAGGTTAGTGCAATGATATTGTGAACAAATTATATTGGATACTCTGTGTAGCAAGAAGAGTTCCATTGGAGAACTCCAAGAACTCAGTGCAAAGGACCAAGCTTTCAAACATATTTAGCAATTCTTGTAGGTAGAACCAGATAATACCTCTTCATGAATCTGTTTGTCACCATCTTCACTAAAGTCTTCATCACTGCCAAGCTCTTGAGGATCATCAACCTCTTCCTCACTACCGTGCACTGAGATATCTTCCTTGAGCTGAAAAAGAACAATGGGCCATCAGAGCTATACATAATTATCCTCTACAACCGAAGAAGTAAGATTGCATCGAAGAAAAAAAAACAGAAGAAAAGAAGCAGATGCTGCATTTATACAGCTTGAATATTTGCTTTTAAATTTCCAAAACTACTGAGCACCGGGTATCGGGAAGTCAATATTCTTCTAAACATAAACAATCAGTCGACGCGTTCTTCAGAAAATTTAAATAATTTTCTGAACTACCTCCTTGGAAGGTCCATCCGAAAACCTTGGAGAGCTGCAGCAAGAAGAATGGTATTTACTAGTATCAGTCCAATCTGGCCTGGATTCATCCACACTCCCTACACGGCTGGTCCCACCATCAGAAGGCCAAGCACTGATGCCATAGAAACCAAATTGAAGATTAACAGTTTCAGCTTTACCAATCTGCAATGGACCATACATTGGAGTCCCAAATCCATTCTCAGTCCTCGGGCCTAATAAAGGCTTCCCACTTGTATTATCAATTGGATCAACAGGCCAAGCCTTAGCCACCGATCCGTCAGTATTAACCAAAGCCATGAGATTCCTAGAGGAACCTTTCCTCTGGATGAGTTGAAACATGCACTTAGAGCTCAACGAGTTGGCTGCACACTGATTCCTGTATTCCTCGTCAATAATAGGAACAGTATTGCGTACAGGATCATATAGTTGTTCGCCTGCTTCACGCCTACGAAGGCAGCTAAATACTGTTGCATGGATGGCAGCTACACTCTTGTCAACATTGGTGTTGTTTATTTTAGGGATAAGATGCTTATCAGCCCTCTTGCATAAATATTCTTGTATTGCCCTAATATTTCGTATATACTTCACATATCTGTTCTTAGCTGGGTCAAGTGTCATATATTTTGCTCTCACAGCAAATCTTTCCATGTGCTTGTCCTCATTGGTGATGTAAATCATGAACGGTACAATTGATGGATGTTTCTTCATGAGCCCCATCTGCAAAAACAGCGCTGGAGTAAATGCCAAGAAGAATATAAAATCTAAATAGATAGGGAAGAAAAGTCAACTGAAGATTACACACCACAAAATTTAGGCTTAAGTGAACACCCTCAACAACCACCGATTCTTTCCGCTCTTCCCATGCAGTAATCAGCCTATCAAGACTGTCAATCACCATTTCACTCTGAGCCTTGTATCCTTCAACAGCCATCTGCTTTTGACTGATTAGCTCAGTGCAACGATCCGATGGTTGGCCATCAAATTTTCCAATGGAAGAACTCTCCAGTACTTCATCCTTCAGATATGAATGAGGATTGCCTTCCAACTTTGTTGCTTTTCTTTTTGCCTTGGCTTCAGCGACAGCCACTGGATCCAAAACCTCCCCAGCATGGTAAGTTGAAGCCCAGAGCAGAGGATTTTGTTTCTCATCTACAAAACTCCTCATCATATGCCGAATTGAGTCGGTTGATATTACTGTCGTAATTCCTAACCTGCTACCCTGTCAGAACAAAGTGAAGTGTACTTAAGTTAGAACATTTTAAAACTACTTTCAACTAAAACTCCATGCCATGCATTGCAGTTAGCTGTTGCCACTTCAAGAAACTGTAAAAGCTTGAATAATGCAACAAATTTTTGTCCCCAAAGATTCAAGTCTCTGCAAGGATATACCAGCAGAGCGGACAAGGTAGATTTGCCACAGCCACTAGTACCACATAATAGTACAGTCATAGATTCCTTCCTTTCCCGGATTCTGTGAAAACAAAATACCGTTACACGAATTACAAACCAGCTAGACAAATATAATGGTGCTTATCAGACTTGCAAGCAGCCCCAAATCTTCGTACAATATCCATGCATAATAGACACAAGAAATTTAATTCATGAAACCAAGGGAATGTCATAAGTGTTCATATTTAATCAGGTTAAGACAAGACACGACATTTTTAGTATTAAGACCCAAAGAGACACCAAGAGGGTTACATGGATTACAAATAGCACCAGTATTCTCTTTTCTATGGTTGAAAAATCCTCCACTTCCTCTCCCTCAGGTTTACCATAGAATTTCTCTCCCCAAATCTCCCACAAGACAGACCAGATCTAAATCTAAAATAGTCAGATCCACATAAGAACTTTCTGGCATGAATAAGATTATCTCTAAACTTATCCTTGTACAAAGCTACTTGAACCTAAACTACACATGACTAAACCACAGAATTACCTATTTGTGGAAAATAATGGTAGATTAACACACAAGAAAAACAGGTAAACGTAATGGGTACTTGATTCAAAGGCTCATATCGTTTAGAGTTTACCTGCAGGCTAAAAGCAAGTCAGCCCTCTGGTTGGGACTCACGTACTTGTATTCTGCCAGGGCTTTGCATACAACATCTAAGAAGGTTGCTCTCCTTACAATGAGGGTTGTGCGCATTTTATAAATCTCAAAGGGAATGTTTTTGTTTCCACCATCTTTAGATAAACTTAGATGTTCTTTTCCAGAAGATCTTGTCTCAAACCCTTCAGGATGCACATCATAACCTTTACGCAACAACTCAAAAGCCCTTTGGCTTATCTAATCAAGTAATCACAGGAAAAAAATCATAACCATCAGAAAATTTCAAGGCTTTCAACATTGCTTGGAAACATAACGAATCAAATTAATTTGATGTGACACTAGATAAATAAAGCAAAACGGATGATGAAAATGTTGTATAACAGTCCAGATTTTAAGAAGATCAAAAGCAAACATCATAAATATTGATAACTTGTGGCTCCCACTCAAACCTCTCTCTTGAATTTGTAAATTCAGATCGAAGATAAGGTTGTAGACAAGGCATTGTACATCCACCTCCATACTCTTCAGTTGCAAAGGTGATGAATGTATCCATCACTTCGCCATTGCGAATAAAAAAAAAAACCGAAAGAATTATAGACAAATAGCATTGATGCACGAGGATGGATGCGATTAAAACAACTTAGAACGCCACATAAACACTAAGGGTCATCTCTGCATGATGGTAAACACCCAGGCTTCAAAACTCAAAATCATAAACTTCTATTTACATAAATCAAGGTCGGTGCATTATTTGTCACTGCCGTTGTGGGATAGAATTTGTTTTAAAGAACTGCCTGCCAATAGAAAACATGACAATGCAAGGTACACGCGAGAGAGAATTGGAACAGGACATCCAAAACAGGCCATTCTTGAAAATGGCCAAGATATTGAAAGTATTCGGTATGCAAAGTTCACGAAATAGAAAAGGTGACCCACAATTTAAAGCATACGATAGGAACAATGAATAATATCTCCACCAACGACAAACAGCTTAGTGGACAAGGGAAAGGAAAGATAGGAAGTTGAAAGGCAACATGATGATGACAACAACGATGACAACAACAGAGAAATAAACATAATCAAAGAAGAACAGTTTGGTCTCGCAGAAAAAAACAATAAAAGCAAGAGGAAAGAAATAATTATGCATCCCACAACAACAAAAATAGAACATATAGAACTCATAAACAAGAAACGACAGGGTAGATGCAGATCTGACCCCCACAACTTGAATTCAGATACGCAAAAAATAGACCACAACCCAGACAGAAAAAACAACGAAACAAATATGAGAATAACCATCCATCTTTGCTCGCCCAAGGAAGAACATAACGGTGAAGGTAAAGGAAAATCAGTCGGCAAATCTTAAATTGAGATATAGAGAAAGAAGGCATCAAATATGAAGCACCTTGAAAGCATGTCGTGCCTTGCAACCCATGAGCTGCAGAGTGCTTTGCAAAACGGGGCGAGTATACCGGAAAGACCCTTTCTCCTTCTTCACTTGTTCTTCATAATCCAGAACCACAATATACAACACCTTAGCGACCTCCGCCATCTATATCAAAGCCAATAAAATTCTGTATGCATCAATTAACAAGTAAAAATCGAAATCCAATCATTGGACAGAAGAACAGAGAAACAAGCTACAACGACGTTGGACATTGTCACAACATGGCACAAATACAGCACGTAATAAAAACGAAATTCAAATGGAGATAGGAACAAGCAGGAGAAAGAGAAGATAAACGTGTGAGAGAGAATCAAAAGGCAAAGTGATAGAAAGCGATTGAATAAGTAGGCAGACAATGCGGAAGGTATAAGAAGAGAAAAGGAAAAGAATGGAACCTGTAATCAAGAACAAGACAGATCTCGAAAATCAAGAAGAAGAAGAAGAAGAACTAGGGTTGAAGATCCTCCATGAACAAGGAGCTCTATTCATTGTCGCGGTGGAAGCCACTCTATATCGGTCATTGCCGCGTCGCCTGCCTTCCACGCAGCCTACAGACCACCCAGCTTCCACGAGTCCTTTCTCGTTTTTCCTCTCCCTTCGATGGCGAACTAGTTGAGAAATTACTCAATTCGCCTCCAACTGTACGCGTAAAATCGAATCACAATAGGGGTAATATTGGAAAGAGAAAACAACCACGAATCTGGCTTCAACGATCCCCGGCTCTCACTCCTATAAATACATTAAATTTAATACCAACAGGAGGGAAATTGTTTTAAGTATATCTTTAATAATAATAATTAAAAAAAAAAACTAAATTGATGGTCCGCACGTGTGGAGAGTTTTAGATATCTATAATAATTTTTTTTGAAATATTACTAGCCTTTTATTAATTTAAAATTTTAATTACTCCCATCCTTTTATCTTTATATGAATATAAAATTCTCATGAAAATTCATTTTTTATCTTTGAAATTTGTTTTAAAAAGTATTCTTATTTTTCTAAATATTGTTTAGATATTTAAAAAAATGATAAGTATGGTCCTTAAAAAATAAAGTCAACGTAATTACTTTATATACTAGTTGTTAAATTAGATAATTCAACAATTAATATAAGGTTTAATTACATAATAATCATGTGTTTTTACATGTTACGCATTTTATAAGAATAACATTTTATAAGAAGCTTCTAATAAGGTTGGACTGGCGCACATGTAAAATAACTGAACAATAATAAATTAAGCCAATTTGAACAAATAATAATAAATAAAATAAAGTAAACATTGAGCACCGAGAAATAAAGGTGGCCGTGGTTAGTAGCTTTCCATTTGTTAATATACAATCTGCACGAAGAATTTATTCCCTTTTTTAATTTAAGGAAAAAAAAACCCATAGGAACAAATTCAGCGGGTTTGGTCAGGTAATAGAAGCTAAGGAGAGATGCTGTCGGAATCAAATTCAGGTCGCAGCAGAGGGACATAGGGTTTTAGTGGGCATAGATTGTAGTTCCTTTTCTAGAAGAGAATGAATCATTTGTCTCCTCCACCGGAAATTCCTTCCCTACAGAATTGGGGAAAGACCAAGTGCTTTCTTCGTCGAGCATATGATTGCCCTGTCGAGCATATGATTGCTCTGCCCAGTTTGCTATTTTCACTTCCTACTCAAAGAATCAGTCCTATAGCTTATAAAAAATAAAAAAAAAACCATAGGAACAAATGCGGCATTGAAAGCTTTCAATTTGGACCCTACATTCATTATTTCCCAAAGTTCTTTACTTTGAGAGATTAAGCCGACACGTGTAACGGACCCTACATTCATTATTATTTCCCCTGAGGAACAGTGGATTTCATAGTAGATTCCATCTTAAAAAGCCAATTAATGGAAGGATATCACAGAAAGAACAACAGAGGTGCTGTCTGTTTCTGTCAAATCCCCACCACCCTCAAGGGTCATTTTAACACATGAAATCATCTAAAGGGGTGCCCCACCACTGACCCAATTCATCGAGATTATTTCTTTTCAATGAAAACTCATAAAGTTAATCCAACTCATTCAGTAATCTTACAATATATCTAAATGAAAGTTTCCAGAGAACCTTACAAAAAAGGTGCATTCACACGGAGTTGCGTCTCCTTATTGTTTTGCCTTTTCCTCCAATGAATGCGCGCCGCCAGACTACCCACCACGTTCGTGATATCTGAAAATCCTACAAAGGGAAGATATGAAAATTCTTAGAAATTTAAACAGTAAGGCCTTGTGGTGCAGCGGTGGGTGCCTTGGGCTTGGGCTTTTCAACTACAATAGCCTGTGTGGTTAGGACCATCCCAGCAACTGAAGCTGCATTCTGCAAGGCACATCTGGTCACCTTGGCTGGGTCAATAACGCCGGCCTCTACTAGATTCTCGTACTTGTCTGTCATTGCGTTGTAACCAATTTCCCATTCACTCGACTTTATCTTCTCCACCACTACTTCCCCTTCAATTCCAGCATTTTGGGCAATTAAGGATGCCGGTGCTACCAGCGCCTGTGTACAAAAACATTCAAGTCAATAACAAAAGACCAAATGCAGCACCCAGTAGTTGTTCCAGGAATGCACTACAGAGTTCGGTTACCTTTTGGACAATATCGGCACCGAGCTTCTCTTCGGCATCTTCGAGCTTGTCCTTGATTGCAGGGACAAGAGTTGAGAGGTGAACCAGTGCAGCACCACCACCAGGTACAATGCCTTCCTCTATGGCAGCGAAAGTTGCATTCTTTGCATCTTCAATACGGAGCTTCCGGTCCTCAAGTTCAGTCTCTGTTGCAGCTCCTACTTTAATGACAGCAACACCACCAGATAGTTTGGCAATTCTTTCAGCGAGTTTCTCTGTGTCATACACAGAATCTGTCTCCGCCAATTCCTTCTTTAGCTGTGCAATCCTGGCTTGTAGCTCGTCTTTTGAAGCAGCGTCAGCAATGATGGTGGTAGTGTCCTTGGAGATGGTCACTTTTCGGGCCAAACCAAGCTGTTCAATTGTAGTATTTTCTACTAGCAATCCAAGATCATTGGCTTGAAACTCAGCACCTAAAACAATAATAAAGCAACAAGAATTAGCCATTCTACTCAAATCAACATAAAAGCAGATCAAATTTATAAAATGAACTCGCCCTTGCAAACCTTTCGTTAAATACCTGTCAAAATGGCAATGTCTTGAAGCATCGCCTTTCTCCTTTCTCCAAAGCTCGGAGCTTTAATGGCAGCAACATTTAGAATCCCCCGCAACTTGTTCACAACAAGGGTAGCCAAAGCCTCACCAGTAACATCCTCTGCAATGATAAGCAAAGGAGCTCTCAATTGCGTGGTTTTCTCCAATATAGGGATTATATCCTTTATGGCCGAAATTTTCTGGTCTGTAACTAACACTCGTGCATTCTCAAATTCAGCAATTAACTTTTCAGGGTTTGTAACAAACTGAGGAGAAATATAGCCTCTGTCAATCTGCAACATGAAAAAGATGAAGACATAGAGTAGAGTTATAACGTGCATGAATGACTTGGATTTGGATTAAGAAAGATACTCTTCAGTAAAGAGCAAAACTACACACCGCCATCCCTTCTTCAACTTCAACAGTGGTCTCAAAGGAAGATGATGACTCAATGGATAAGACACCATCAGGCCCCACTTTTTCAATGGCATCAGCGATCATCATCCCTATAAGCTCGTCATTTCCAGCAGAAATAGAAGCAACAGCTACACAGAATTAAAACAAAACAAGGATCATCAACTGATGAATAAATATTGTGATTGTAAAAAACTTCTACATTCGATTTCTTTCTGGTGGGTACTGATTTTTCTCCTCTAGTAAACTTATGTATTTTATATTTTGGTTGTTTTCTACAAATTCCCAGCAGAAAGCAATACCTTTTATATCATCTCTGCCTTCTATAGCCCTAGCCTTGTTCTCAAGCTCTTGGATCAATCCTTGCACGGTCTTGTCAATTCCTCTCTTCAGTGATACTGGATTTGCTCCGGAGGTAACATTAAGCAGGCCTAGCTTGATAATTTCCCTAGCGAGGACTGAGGCAGTTGTCGTCCCATCACCAGCAGAATCATTAGTTTTACTTGCAACCTTCATGACAAATAGCATGCTTACAGGATTTCAATAGCTGATGGATGATAAATTATTGCATCACAACAGATCAAATATAACAGGAAGATCAGAGTGTAAAGGAGGACCAACCTCTCTAATTAGAGCTGCACCAGCATTTTCCATGGGATCAGGCAACTCAATTGCCCGAGCAATTGTCACACCATCGTTTACAACTTTAGGACTGCCGAACTCATCCAGCACCACATTTCTCCCTTCAAATACAAAGGTCACAACAAGTTGAACATTTAGTTAAGAACCCAAAATTCTCAAAATCCATCCAATGGAGTAACAAAACATGAAATGAATCTATTTCCATAAAGTAAAACGAAATTCAATACTGAGTAATTGATAAATCAAAAGAACCAAGAAGTTACCCCTAGGTCCAAGAGTCAGACCGACTGCATTGGCAAGCTTGTCAATCCCAGACTGAAGTGCGCTCCTAGAACTTTGGTCAAACGCTATCTCCTTAGCAGTAGCTCTCACAACAAATCTGCTACCCGCCTGTCTGTAATTTAGCCTGTTGTTCTGTGTTTGATTCGCCTTTCTCAAACTCTGCAACGATAGATTAATGCAGCGTAAGTTAATGGAAATTCTACATTAGCATTATCAGTTTCTCCTTCACAATTCCACCACCAACACTTTTTACAAGAATGAAATACCCACTCTCAGCTCATCTATGATAGCAAACTCCACAACTTTCTACATAGAACGCCAATTACGTAGCTCACATGATTCTCATACGGCGCAAACACAACAGTATAGAATCGCAACGACTATAATCTACAAATCATCATTTTCAAAGATAAAGGAAAGCGAAGAATTGTAAAGATTACGAGGTAAGGGGAGGAATTGCTGTAGAATAACAACAAAGAAATGAGAAATCAAGGTAGTACCTTCTGGGAAGAACATAGAATCGATGCAGAAGAAATTGCATTAGCAGACGCCATTTTCAGGCAGCGGAGCTCGGAGGGTTTTAGTTTTGGTAGAGCTAGCTGTTGGGATAAGGTGGGTAAGCAAAGCGCTGAATGAGTTTAGGGTTCGGTTTTTATTGTGGGATTGGAAGTTCCAGAAGCTTCTTCTTCTTCTTCTTCTTCTTCTTCCAGAACCCTTGAAGCCTATTTCAGGATTGTTGTTGTTTAGTTACGTTACGGCCCAAATGCGATTGAAATGTTCAGTGCAGTGCGCACTCATGGCGCTGTTTAAGCTTTAAAGAGTTTCCTCATGCTAACGTGCGCCTTGAATCGCAATAGTTAAAATATGGGCCTATTGGGATTTGGGTTAGCTTCGGTAAAATCCATTTCAGCCCAATAGTTATCTGATCTATTACTTATTTTAAATCAAATAAATGAAAATAATAATAACAATAACCATGTGGATGGAAGAGGCCATACATACATACATATATATATATATATACTTTTTTTTTTTTTTGAATTCAAATGTTGAATAAAATCATTTCATTTTTTAGCTCACCAAATTGAAATAGTCTTCATAGATTCATTATCTTTTTATTCGTATATCTGATTTGAAAACATGAATTTCTCGAAAGATTTGAACTTAAAACATCAAATTCTCATTGCTTTTTTCTCCCAGTGTCTTCGTATGAATGACTTGGAGAAAACCAAGACTACTATAAGCTGTTTTGAAAATAAAAACAAAATTTCAAACAAGCCCTAAAAATGCATATATACCCACAAGGAGAGGCTAATAGGTTAATTTCAAATGGGCGAAATGGGGTGCCTTTGGAGAAGACAGAGAGAGAACCTGCACATAATGATTTCAGACTTGGAGTACATAGAGGCAGAAAATAGCATGACATAATTAGCAAGTGTGAGGTTACAATTTTAAAGTTACTTGAACCCAAAAAATGAGGGGGGGGAGAGAACGAAAAGATTCCAGGCAAATGTTAGAGATAGATGCACACATTAATCAAAAAGCATGGCAGCATTTCTGTATTTGGCATAATTTTTCCTATGAGTTGCACATAGGAACAAAACCTTGGAGGAAAAAGGAACCAAGTAGCTGAACTCTTATGGAGACTGAAATGTCCATAAAGCTTGGTGAAGACTGTGATTAGCAATATTTGAAAATTGCTATCTGAGCCGTCATTCCAGATGATGCTCGTTTTGAAGCATCCACCACCTATTGTTCCTCGTCTCCAACATGGGAACATCTGGAGAAAACCACACAATGCACGAAGTTCTATTGGCTTTACAAACAGTGTGGTATACATACAATCTTAGGAGTTAATAAATACCAGCAAGAATTACAAAACTTGGAAGATTAGCCTTATCCGAATGCTAGAGAGAGAGAGAGAAGGGAAGGGAGTGGGAGAGTACTAAATTGATGGAGCTTAGTTTGATGCAACTTAATTCGTTTAGTTTCCTGGTAAAAGTTTGTCAATCACCATTAGTTTAATCATAATTTCACTCTAGATATGCCAAGCAAATGAAAAGGCACCTTTCCGAGGGTAATTTTTAATTAGGATACCATTAAGTTGTAAAGTTTTTTTGAATAATTACGTATGATGTGCTGGAAGAGGTTAATAAGCACTACATCTTTCCAGCTTCATCACAAGCCAACGGGCTCCTTGTTGAAACGTGCAAGTGTAAGTTTATTCACACAAAAATTTTGATCTTAGTACTTTTGAACTTTTGTTCATTTTGATCTTGTAATTACATCTTTGGTTCATTTTGATCTTTAAAATGAACAAAATTTGGAAGTACAAGAATCAAAATGAACCAAAGTAAAGCAACCAAATTAGTACTTGAATCTATTTGAAACACCATCAGCTTAAACAACAAAATATTGATGAACAAAGATATTGGTCAATAACATAGAATTAATGAAGACAATAATTTGGGAAAGAAAAGGTATTAAGACCTCATCAAGCCTATCAGTGTTGTTGAAGTTCACATAAAGAGTGAACACATCTAATACTTGGAAGGACTAACTATCATAAGGTTAAGGAAAGGTGAAGGATCCAATAATTCAAGCATCCCATTGCCGTTGACAAAGAAGTAAATGAAACAGTCAACTACCAAACTAATGATAATGAGAGCTCACCTCCTTCAGGATATATTGAGTTATAGTGCACTTCAGCCCAAAAGCTCAAGCAAATAACTGCAAGTTATGCATACAATTAGAAAATCCTTTCAGTAACAAGTAAGCATGAGGGAGAAAAAAAAAGACTCGTTAAACATTATGACCTGAATATATTCAACATTCACACAGCTTTCGAGCCATAAATCCCTCGACCTTTCCATATTTGAAAAGTTCAAAGCTAAGAATACTCACTAAGTCAACATTTGGATTATTCAAATATTAAAATATAATACAAATAACTTTCCTAAGTAGCTGGCTGAGAGGAATTTGGGCATGATCGACTGCTCTCAGTTGGGATACTGGTAAACACGTGATCTTAGCTGCACATTACTGACCAAACAATAAACCACCACTTAAGAGAACTTACAGCAACCAGTCGCTTCAGGTTCTAATAGTAAATTTCATACTCATTAACATCCATTCGCATGCATCTCTGTCAGAGTTTCTAAGGGGAAAATAGAGGGTCATTTGAAGTCACCCATTTTCTATGGATATTATGCGAAAGATTGTAACACTCAGCACGTTGCTAAGAGAGAAAATAATGCTCAGATGATGATAAATAAGCTTAGATCAATGAATAAAGGGGATGAAAATTCAGCTTTCTTACAAAATTGATCCTATACCTTTCAGGAGAGGGTGTTAGCTAGGTAAACGAGGGAGATACTGAGGAAAGCCTTTTCTTCCAGAAGCTAAGCTATTCATGAGATGACTAGGAAAGCCTTTTCTTCCAGAAGCTAAGCTATTCATGAGATGACTAGGAAAGCCTTTTCTTCCAGAAGCTAAGCTATTCATGAGATGACTAGGAAAGCCTTTTCTTCCAGAAGCTAAGCTATTCATGAGATGACTAGGAAAGCCTTTTCTTCCAGAAGCTAAGCTATTCATGAGATGACTAGGAAAGCCTTTTCTTCCAGAAGCTAAGCTATTCATGAGATGACTAGGAAAGCCTTTTCTTCCAGAAGCTAAGCTATTCATGAGATGACTAGGAAAGCCTTTTCTTCCAGAAGCTAAGCTATTCATGAGATGACTAGGAAAGCCTTTTCTTCCAGAAGCTAAGCTATTCATGAGATGACTAGGAAAGCCTTTTCTTCCAGAAGCTAAGCTATTCATGAGATGACTAGGAAAGCCTTTTCTTCCAGAAGCTAAGCTATTCATGAGATGACTAGGAAAGCCTTTTCTTCCAGAAGCTAAGCTATTCATGAGATGACTAGGAAAGCCTTTTCTTCCAGAAGCTAAGCTATTCATGAGATGACTAGGAAAGCCTTTTCTTCCAGAAGCTAAGCTATTCATGAGATGACTAGGAAAGCCTTTTCTTCCAGAAGCTAAGCTATTCATGAGATGACTAGGAAAGCCTTTTCTTCCAGAAGCTAAGCTATTCATGAGATGACAGTGTTGCTAATAGAGAAAACTAGTGCCAGATGAATTCAAAAAGAACGTGAATAAATCCCTCGTATCCCTAATGCCAAAGAAACTGTTCAGACTTGAAAGTGGGGGAATTTTATGAACGAATAGTAACCAAGAGCATACATGAAAGCCTTTACTGCCCCAATGCCAAAGAGGATTTTTACATCAAAATTTTGAATATCAGGATAATCCATCTTTACAGCTGGCATCTACAAAATCAATGCTAAAATTTTGATCAACATGTTGAAAATTTTCTGCCCACCACCATTATGGTGTGGTTATAGTAATTGACAGAATAATTGATTGCATTTTGAGGATGAATGATAGGCCCCTATTACATCAACATATATGAGAAAGTGCAAAAAGGGAAAATCTAGGGGTAGGGAATATCATATTCATATTAGGGAACATGGCTCATAATAATTGGGAACAGAATTGATGACTGAGGAAAAAGTAGGTGAAAAATGCATAGTGAGTTGCAAATCAAACGAGACCTTAGACCATATGTTTCTCCATTGTCCTTTAACTGGTAGTGGCTGGTTTTTTCTGATGAATATCTTCGGCTTTAGTGACTGCTTGCTGAAGTCTATTGAGGATTGGTTGGTGGAAGTCTTCTCGATAAGTAACTGGTCCAAACAAGCTAACATTTTGTGGAACTGTTGGGCTCAGCCTTTATTATGGCTTATTTGGCTAGAAAGGAACCAAAGAGTCTTCCAAGATAAGTCTTCTTCTATTGAGTTTTTTGTACAAAATGTGCAGCTAACTTCCTTTTGGTGGAGTTATACCCATAGGAAATTGTTTGTAACTACAACCTTTCCACGGTTGTTAACAACTGGAAAGCTTTGTCAACATTTTGTATAAGACCTAGGATAGCACTCTACCATGTTAGCAAAGCAGTGCCTACCACCTCTGCATTGTGGTTTGAGTGAAAGGCTTCATGTGGTTTATATGCAACCTTTCTATCACTGTGGCGCCACTTGCCAGTAGTTACACCACCCAAACCTAATGAAATGTTCTGGTTCAAATTTTCGGATGCAATGACCATCCACCACTTCACGCTTTTCTTATTGGGCTCCAACCAATCTTCAAACAGGCTTAGACTGTGCCTATTTGATTATAGATACTACAATCTTGCAACAATAGATGAGCAGGTGAATAATGAACCTCGGCTAAAATCAATGTAGACTTAGTAACTAATCTTGAATCATTGGTTTATTACTCCTTCATGGCAGAGTATTCTAACTTTGTCAAAGAATTTTGAGCTGCATGATATTCATTCGAGCTATCTGCCTAAGAGGAATCAATACTAATATGTTTCCGTTGAAAAACCAATTGAGAGAAATTTCACCAAATTGGTGCTGCCATTTTCAAGAGGGTGGTGATGAAGAGGATCATACTCTCCCTATGGTGTCTTTTCTCTACCTATCTTTAATAAAAAAATCCACCACATTTTTTGTTTCCAGATTGCTGTCCTAGAAGGAATAAAGAATGTATCCTTCAACTTTGATTTACCAACAAGTTTAGAAGGAAAGCTAAGCACTTTTGTATAAGGTATTTGAGCCATGCTTTGCATTCAGATTGAGAGAGTGACTAGAAGAGATTTCTAGTGACTGATAGGCAAAAGGATTGGCCACGAGAACTTCTTGTTTTTTAATGCCTCTTCCTGGTGTTCGCGTTGCCTCTTTTTGCTTTGTTTTGTCCATGTTCTTCTACAGCTATTATATATTTGATAGATTATTGGCAAATGAAAAGTTTTTATATAATCCTTAAACTAATGCCCGTTTCCCATTTCTTTTGTAAATTTCATTTATCAAAATGCATCATGCTTTTGACCCTTGCTTTCTAGCACTCCATATTGATGCAATTGTTTATTATAAAAGGAAAGAAAGCTTTCAGTTGAGATATCCAAGTCATTTTGTCACCACGACATTTTTTCTCCACTAAAGGAATCACAAGTTCAGGATATAAACTCCCTGTGGGCATAGTGCCAGTGAGTCTTACTTTCGAGCGACTTAAACCCCCTTGGTCCACCAACCTAGAATATTATAAGTTAAATCATGGTTGAAGCAATCAGTTTACTCTAATGAATTTCGATAAATTTAATCTTGTGTTAAAACTTCAACACGCTCTCATTTGTAGTCATGAAAATTTGTCTAACACTAAATAAGCAATTATCAATATCAATTGGGTAAAAATAGCATTACTAAAATTTGAACACAAACCTCCTACTTCGATACCATGTTAAATCATTATTCACCAAAAAAATTTAAGCTAAAGAGTTACTGTAAGTTTAATCTTCTATGAATACTTCAACATTATATATTCTAAATTCCCGACTACAAAAGGTGTAGGGTCAACTAGCAATTGTGTATTTCATATAATCTACATTTGTACAGGGAGAGTTTATTAGAAGATGGTAACTCTACTTAGGAAATCTAATGTATTAAATATTCAATGAATTGTTGTTAACGATTAGAAAAAACGAAACAATATAAATTAGAATGTACCTCTTTTGGACCTTTCAATATTAGGAAGAATCTCAATGTAGCAGGTATCTTTGAATGATGTAATCATGAAAATTTTAACACCATACTGCACCACAGTATAACCACTTATTAGGATTTGATAAACTAATTATTTACCATGCCGTCTTTCCAGAAAGGGTTGCAAGTACAAGGAACAGACCCCAAAGTAGTTATTAGTTATGCTTTCATTTAGTTGCTATGCATACAATATAGGCTGAATCATGATTTATAAAGTAGCCAACCAATCTTATCACGATAGCATGTCGCCCATACATACCGTATCTGCAGCAGCCTGCAAAGTGACATGATCGCCCCATTCCCCACTCCTGTGATCAACCCAAAGAAATGCCAAGACCAAAGAGTCCAGTTAGACATCTCCCCAGTCAAACAATCAAAGAGAAGAAACAAATCGTGAAATGTGTCAGAAGAGTACTTGGACATTTTTTTCAGATAGTCAGTGTAGGCCATGGGAACATATCCTTCGTATATCTCTGGATATGACTTTAGCTGAGAGTTAAAATAGTTCATTATAACAAACTTCAACACTACAATAGAAATGGCCATAAAATTATAGGACAAAAGAAAAAATCAGAAGCAACATTTAAATATAAATACGCCAGACCTTATTAACAACTTGCTCCCTCACAAATTTATGGTGCTCAGGAGTTCGATAAATTTGATCTGACAGAGCACGAAACTGGAAACAAAACAAAAATAAGGATGCATGTCTCAAAAGCTCGCATAGAGCCCTCAAATGTAATTAAACAGGTATTGCAGTTAGCAGTAGGTAATTCAAATTACTAAGGGAAGAGCTAAAGCTAAAGATATCTAAAATCATGACAGAGTGATCATCATAAGTACCATAAAATAAGACAAACATTTGTACCAGTGACTCCGTAGCAGACAGAGAGCTTAAGATGACAAAGTAGAACAAGCTAACCTGACAATTACCATCTCCTTGCACTTTCAACTCGATCAAATCATATAGCTGCAGTCTAAGGGGGTGAGGGGGCAGATTAGTTCGGCACAATGGCACCAAATAGTAGCATGTTATATTCTTGCTAAGCTACGAAAAATAACTGTAGCTATTCGAAGTTAGAGATGAGCGTGTGTGAGAGTGAGATGAGGACAGGCAAGAAATGGGGTATCAGACGAACATAGAAACACCACCTGTCCAATAGTCTTTGATGATCTAAAGCTTCTTCATCAACAGAAGGAATTTCTCCATTAATTTTTGGAATATGCTACAAAACTCAAAATAAGTACTAAAAACATTTAGTATATTTAGTAGATCATTTTAGCAAGTAGTCAGAAAATTAGAAGTCATAGTATAAACCATTCAATCGCCATATAGGTACATGCATTATCTCCAATTTCCTCTTTCAAATTATCAGTTCCACTATGACCATAGTTTAAGAGCCTCGGCCTAAGAGCTTTTGACGAGAGTACAAATTTCAAAAAGAAAGGAGCAATGAAAAGGAAATCAAAAACTTGTGCGTACTTCAACTTGCAGCGACAGTAATTTAAACCACCAACTGCATCCTACCATTTATTAATTGTTAACAATAAAAAGAAGAATGCTAAACAAACAAAAAATTATTTCACACAAACAACATGAAGACATCAGATTTCAACAGAAGGGCTCAAGTTCAACATATTAACTTGAGAACCAGAAGAGATTTCCAGTAATCTGACCAATGAAAGGAAGAATCATCCCCAGAAATAAAATTAACGGGGAAATCAACCACTCTCAGCAGAAGACATATGCACACATGCAAAGCGTCTGATAGCACTCTAGTAAATATGAGTTCTCATTCAATGCATAACTTACAGGAATTGAGACCATCTGATTCAATCTTTTTCCCACTTCTCCATCAAGGGCATACTCATCAGTCAGCTCTAAAGAATATGACCAGTCATCCACACTGTAGGATGTCTCGACAGGCATGGCACATGAACTATCATCTTCCTCTTCCAGATCATTATTATGCTCTGAAAAACACAATTAATTTTAAACATAGAAAATAGAAGCTAGGCATTGAACCTCGAATGTGTTCTGCATTAAAATTTTAATTTTTGCCGCATACCAGGACCAAAGGTATTAATGGACAGACTAAACCAATCTTGTGGACACATGGAAAGTTGTACATTTTCTATCCCTCCATCAAAGGATACTGGCTCTGCCACTGCAAGCTGTGAGAGTTCTTGGAGAGTTTGAGCAATAAGCTCACTATTTTCTATGTTGCATATCTTGTCATAACTATCTGCATCAAAACATTGTCCTTGATAGTATTGTATCTCATCGTGATCAACGTTTCCGCAATACCCGTAATTAGAAAATGGATTGCCATCAAAGAGTTCAAGGCCCCATCGAACGACATCAGGATCTTGCTCGTGAGTAATCATCTCCAAATAAAAATTCCTAAATCAGGATGTACTGTTCCAATTACACAATCAAAACAAAATATTAAATAAGAGATACTTCTCCGACTAATTCCCTCCCTCCAATAAATCAATGAATGCAATTTTCCACCATCAAGCACTTGGATTGTAGTACCTGTAATGAGCACCCAAAAATGAAAATGGAGATTTCTCTAATAGAAAGCAGATAAATACAAATTCATCCTTCGGTTTGTTGGAGCATAGACTTTAAGGTGGCCTTTAACCTGCAGGAAGTCGTTGCTAATATTTCACGTCAACAGCAAATGAAATAACTAAAATCAAATCTACTAACACGATTGAGACTTGTTTATACATAGAACTAATACAAGTAACAAGCAGTTCGATTAATGAAGCGAGGTGAGAATGAGTCGGAAAACACAGGATCAAGCGGATGAATTATATTTCATTCGATGATTGGAAGATAGTGAATAATGCGTGAAAGACCAGTGACATTGTCTCCACCAATTCTAACGATCAATACGCTCAAAATATTCACAGAAACACAAAACATAGTTCGAGGATTACATTCTATAGCAGCTAGAAATAGATAAGTACTCCAACACATTCGTACATTGTGGAATAACAGAGAATTGAAACAGTAAGCTCAAACTCACAGAAATTCGTCAGTAAGACAAAATTAACCGAAGAAGGGAAAAGAATCCAAAAGATACTGAATCAAAATAATCAACGATCGAGAAGGACAAAGAATACGAATGAGAAATTAAAAAGGATGGCGATAAAAGAGAATAAAAGAAGTAACACAATCACTGTATCGTATTCCAAACGAAATTATCCATGAATGGCCGTCAGCTGCTCCGATTTCAAGCAGAGAGTGAGTTCTAATGGATTCCGCAAGGAATGGCATTACCGATAGCCCAACATTTTGGTACCAACCAAACAGTCTTGCATAAGCCATCCGGCGGAAAGCGCGAAACGTAGAGAAGCTTACCATTCGCGGGAATCCGGTATTGCAATCAGCAGTATGAGATACAGAAAAGAAAGCAGAGGAAAATGGACAGCATTGCGCATTCACCTTCGATTGGATCGAGATAGAACAAAGATGCTCCAAGTTCCATCGCTGCACAGAGAGTGTGTTTCGCGGAGTGGAATCCAAAAAAAATATATTAAATTATAAATATAATATATATATATATATATATATATGTGCCACGTAGATAAGAGTAGCAGTCAAAAGAGAGAGAAAAGACTGAATAGAACATCCACGTCCTTCAGCATCGTCATTATAAGATTAATTAAAAAGAATAAAACAGAAATAATGACGATGCTGAAATGAGAAATCAAATTTATATTTTTAAAGATTTATTAAGAGATAAAAGAAAAATGTTATTTAGAATAATTAACGTTATAACTCAACCCAACTTTATTTTTAAAATATTGAAAATAATTATCGTTTGTAATGGATATTACTAAATATTGTGACTTGTAAATGTTTGATATTTAAATTTTATGAAATTTTAGTTATTAATATAATATGTTGACGTGGATAAATATAAATTTTTTAAATAATTGAAAAAAACAACTCCATAATCTAACTCATGAATTGGGTTGTAAACTCTATCACGATGCTGTTCTAGTCACCAATTCAACCAACCTAAAATTTTAGGTTAATTCAAAACATTTTTTTCAACCCAACCTGTATACACTCAAAATGAAGTTCAGATCGTACTTGGCTTTTAATTCGAGTTAAGTTCAAATCCTACCCGACATTTAATTCGAGTTAATTATATTGTGAAGTCAAGCGTTGTTTGAGGGAATGGGTATTAGGGTAGTCTGCCATTATTCAATATCGGCACATGCATTTGGCCGCCAAACACAAAAGAGTTCCACACGCAATCAAACTCACTCCAAATTGTTTGGTTACTGTCCTTTATTGGTTGGAGAGGAGAACAAAACATCATTTATAAGGGGTGAAAACCTTCGTTAGAAGACAACCTTGAAAGGAAGCCCAAAAGGGAAAACTGAAAGAGGACAATATCGGCTAGCGGTGGATCTGGGTCGTTACAGATCATGGGTTTGTTTATAAGTAAAGAATACTATATTCATTAGTACGAGGCATTTTAGAGAAACAAAAGACAAAGTTACGAGAGCTTATACTCAAAGTGGACAATATCATATAATTGTGAAAGTTTGTGGTTACTAACATGGTATCAGAGTCATGCCTTTCACTTAGTCATGTCAATCGAATCCTAAGCATCGAACAAAAAAAACTGTGAACTTTGAAAGTATATTCAAGAGTGACTCAAGTGTCGAACAAATTGTGTACTTTGTTCGAGGGCTCTAGAAAATGAGTTGAGTCGGCTATTCGAGAGATTCATAGGCTTTAGGAGAGACTCTTTGGTGTACTTTGTTCGAGGAGAGGATTATCGGGAGGGAGTCACACATTGACTAAATAAGAATATGATCATAAGTTTAAAAGTAATGAATATTGTCTCTATTGATACGGGGTCTTTTATGAAAACGAAAAGCAAACTTGACCCAGTCACCCATTATGAATGGCCAACGGCAAATGCAACGCCGATCCCGACGTTGGGAGTCACGTATGTTCCACCGGTGGCGGACCGCCGCCCTCAAGTAGTGGTTGTCAACCCTTTGGCAACTTAATTTGCAAGGGAAAATCGCATCCGCAGTACAAGTGCTCGCCTCGAGTGACTTCCTCGACCAAAGCCATCCTTACCAACAACAACTTTAGCGAAGGGGGTGACGGCGGAGACCCGTCGGAGTGCGACGGGAAATTCCATGATAACTCTGAATTAATAGTGGCGTTGTCCACGGGTTGGTACAATGGGGGTTCGAGATGTGGGAAGAAGGTTAAAATTAGCGCTAGGAATGGACGGTCTGTGGTGGCTGTGGTGGTGGATGAGTGCGATTCTATAAATGGATGTGACAAGGCGCATGCTCATTTGCCGCCTTGCGGCAACAATATTGCCGATGGCTCTGATGGTGTATGGAACGCTTTGGGACTCGATATAGATGTGGGTGAAGAGCCAATTACTTGGTCCGACGCCTAATAATACTAAAAATTGTATCTTTTTTTCAATAAAGGGTTTTCTATGGAGTTGATGATAATAATGTGGAAGATAATAAAAGCTTTTGTCTTTTAGATTTCTATGATTGATTACCTTGGAGAAGTAAAGTAAAACTCTATCAAACCACTTAAGTATTGTAATTGTTACGAGACGACTTGAATCCGATAGACTTTGATCTCTAAGGAACCGTATTCAAGTCCATGGCCCGTCGAAGGATGAGTCCTTAAAGGTCGAGAGTACAACCTACCCAGTTCGATTCTATAACTGAACCAATGTTTGTGTTCTTTCTCTCCTTACTTTCCTTTGACTAAATGTATGCCGGAACATTGTTAGTCAATAAGCTTAACTTGTACATGATTTAGTCATGGGTGAAGTTATTAATCATTGAGCCTTTATAGGAGTATTTTTGTGGGATCCCACTTCGGTTGAAGAGGAGAACGAAGCATTTCTTATAAGGGTGTGGAAATGTGATGTCCCACATTGGTTGGGGAGGTGAACAAACTACCATTTATAAGAGTGTGGAAACCTTCCCCTAGAAGACGGGTTTTAAAGCATTGAGGGGAAGCCCGAAAGGGAAAGTCCCAAATAGGACAATATCTACTAGCAGTGGATCTGGGCCGTTACAGGAAACCTCTCTCTCCTTGAGAGGAAACTCGAGAGGGAAAACCCAAAAAGGACAATATCTACTAATGGTAGACTTGGGCTTGGGTTGTTACAAAGGATATGAGAGAATCAAACATTGGGTAGTATGCCAACGAGAACGCTGCACATCGGATGTAGATTATGAGATCCCACGTGGAGAGGGGAACGACACCGGGCAGTGTGCCAGCGAGGACGTTGGCCAACGTCCGCCAAAAGAAATGTATTGTGAGATCTCACATTGATTGAAGAGGAGAACGAAGCATTCCTTGACAATACATAACAAGCCAAAACAGACAATATCTACTAGTGGTGGACATTATTAATCGTGGAACATTTTTAGGAGAAGAATCTTCTTTTTTTCCTTTAAACGTCAGATGTACATTTTATTAACAATAGAAACTCGAAAAATATAAACAGAAACGATACATTCCCAAATTACTTTAATAAAGTTCAAACCCTAAACCCTAAACATCTAATCGTGTTGTCGTGCACAACATCCATGAACTTTTCTCTCGTTATCATCAATAATTGACTGATCATGAGCCTATCTAAAGCATTAGAGGCCAAATTTGTAATTTGATCCAAGTATATTTATTTCACACGGCACCGTAGTTATTATTTATTTACATTTTAGATTATGATTCCAAAGATCTAAATAAAAATAATAATAATAACAAATAAAGACAAGACCGGCAAACAAGAAGAACCAAATGCATAGAACTCGATGACAAAATTCCCATCATGGGTCGAACTGCAAAATCTTAAAAATTGAGGGACCAAACATAAAATTGGTCCCATTATTTAAAGGCCCAAGCCATCACTCACTTTACTTAACATCAAAAGTTCAGCTCCCATGTCGAAATTGGCTTTGTTGGTTGCCCTTTTTGTTTGGGTTATGTCCCTTCCCAGCCTTTCCCGAGCTATCTCCTCATGCAATGGTCCATGTCAAACCCTAAACGATTGCAAAGGGCGGTTGATATGTATTAAAGGCCAATGCAACGACGATCCCGACATTGGAACGCACGTTTGTTCGAGCGGCGGTGGGGGTGGAGGAGGAAAGTTCCCGCCATCTTCAAGCAACGGTTGCGAGGCGATTGGGAACTTACATTGCAAGGGAAAATCATTCCCCCAATTCAAGTGTTCACCTCGAGTGACTTCCTCGACTCGAGCCATTCTAACGAACAACGACTTTAGCCGAGGTGGCGACGGTGGGGGACCGTCGGAGTGTGATGGTAAGTTCCATCATAATTCTCAGCGAATTGTGGCGTTGTCCACAGGTTGGTATAATGGAGGGTCGAGATGTGGGAAGAAGATTAGAATTAGGGCTAGAAATGGAAGGTCAGTTTTGGCTAAGGTGGTCGACGAGTGTGATTCTATTAATGGATGTGACAAGGTGCATGCTCATCAGCCGCCGTGTCGGAACAATATTGTCGATGGCTCAAACGGAGTTTGGCATGCTTTGGGACTCGACATAGATGTCGGTGAAGAACTTGTCGTCTGGTCGGATGCTTAATTATAATAAAATGGTCGAAATAATGTAATAATGTCGTAGGATGAGCGTAAAGACATGGCTAGTCTTTGATCATCATCTCCTGCGACAAACTATTTTATCTTTTTCTATTGAAGTTATCGTCGGTTTTGAACCAACTTAAGTAAGTTTGTTTAAGTTCCCGTTGTTTTTAATATAATCGAAGTTTCAGCTTAAATTGATATGACAGCTAACGAAAAACGCTATAATAGACTTTTTATATCTAAGAAATAATGGTAAGGGGTATAACTGGAAGATAATTGACATATACTCTGTTATACTTATTGATAAAAATTTAAACTTTATGTTAAATAAAATAAAATACAAAAGTTTAATAGGGTGACTTCGTCTAATAATGCCACTCATAACCTACGAGATCCCACATTGGTTGTAGAGGAAACGTATCATTCTTTATTAGGGTGGAAAAATTTCTCCTTAGTAGACGCGTTTTAAAATCGTGAGATTAACTGTGATACGTAACGGGTCGAAACGAACAATATTTGCTAGTGGTGGGCTTGAGCCGTAACAAATGGTATCAGAGTTAGACACCGGGCGGTATGCCTATTGAGGATTATTGGGAGTAAGTCTCATATTGGCTAATTTAGAGAATGATCATGGGTTTATAAGTGAGAAATACTATCTTCATTGGTACGAGACATAGGGAAGCCCAAAACAAAGTCATGAGAGCTTATGTTCAAAGTGAACAATATCGTTGTGGAGATCCATGATTCCTAACATGAGGATGCTAGCCTTCGAGGAGATGGATTTTGGATTATGAAATCTCACATTGGTTGAAAAGGGGAACGAAGAATTCCTTATAAGGGTGTGAAAACTTTTTAAAACTATGAGGCTGACGACGACGATACGTAACTGGAACCCGGTCAAAGCAGACAACATTTGTACTGTGAGGGTTAAAGTGGATAATATATGCTAGTCGTGGACTTGGACTAGACTTAGACTGTTACATAACCGATGGAACAACGATGGATTCTCGATCCCACCAAGTTTGATTAAAGAAATGAAAGTGAGACAAACAAAGAGTATCAACCTGACATGTATTACACGTCCATTATAATGGGCAGTTCTTAACATGATTATTCGTGGATCAGTATATTCCACGGCAATCGGCATGTTCACACAGACCTTTGAGGCCTTATAGAGTTCACAAGAATCCATGGGCGGCTGTAGGGTTACTATATAAACCCAAACAATCATCACTTGAAAAACAAAACAAAACATCTCCTTTCTTCATGGGTAACTTGGGATTGTTCTCCTCTCTTACTCTATTGCTTGTTTCTCTACCCCACCTCAATCGAGCCATCTCTTCGTGCAACGACCCATGTCGCACCCTAACCGATTGCCAAGCTCAATTGATTTGCATAAACGAGAAATGCTCGGACGATCCCAACCTCGACACTCACATCTGCTCGCAGGTGAGAATATTTGCTTATAATAAAATGACAAATATGATATTTATGGTAAGTCGTGGCAGGAAGGAGGTAGTGGAGGTAGTGGAGGAGTACGGAGTTTGGCATCTTCAAGCAAAGGGTGTCATTCTATTGGGAAATTGCACTGCAAGGGAAAGTCATTCCCTCAGTTCAAGTGTTCGCCGCCGGTGACATCCTCTACACGAGCGGTGCTTACAAATAACGACTTTACCAAAGGTGGGAGTGGAGGCGACCCATCGGAGTGCGACGGGCAGTTCCATGACAACTCGGACCCAATAGTGGCGCTGTCCACAGGTTGGTACAATGGGGGGTCGAGATGTGGGAAGATGATCCAAATTACGGCTACAAATGGGCGGTCGGTGTTGGCTAAGGTGGTGGATGAGTGCGATTCTGTGAATGGATGCGACAAGGAGCATGCACATCTGCCGCCATGCCACAACAATATTGTGGATGGCTCAGATGCTGTGTGGCACGCTTTGGGACTTGATATTAATGTCGGCGAAGAACCCGTCACTTGGTCCGATGCTTAAGCTGTGTGTGATCTTACTTTAGTCATGAATAATGATCATCTCTTGTAACCCTTGCTTATAGCTTTTTTGTGCCAATCAAATTAAAGCTTTTGGGCGTTTTATGAACAAATTAACTTAGGTTTATATCGCTTAATTTGTCCATATATTAATTTTATAAGTTCCGAACATCATATATTAAAATTTGCTAAATTAATTAAAAAAATTAATCATAAGTCTCGTCTAAATAATACTCTTAAACTTTTGAAAGTTTCAAAAATATTTTTTATCATGGAAAAAAATTGTGCACTCAATAATATACTCAATAACATACTGAAGTTGGTGTTACAGTTGTGTTCAAGAATTTTTTTTTGTGGACTCAAATTGTTAAAAAAATTATTTTAAAAAAAATATATTTATCCATAATTTATAATTATTTCGATATAATTTTAGATAAAAGATAATTAAGTTTAACGTAGAGTTCCAAAATAACTTAAATAGATGTATAAATTATAATTAATAAATATTGATATGTATGGTTTCAAAATAACTTAAATAGATGTATAAATTATAATTAATAAACTTACCATAAATTATATTATTAAATTAAATGATGTTGTTTGCGTTAATTTATTCATATTATAAATAATATATTTTAAATATATATATATATATATATAAAAGAAACTAAACTTTAAAATAGTGTAAAATATGAAATTGGCGACAAACTCGGGTGGGGTGTGAGTGATTTAGGATAAAATACCACTCTGCCAAACCCATGAAATATTATCAAAATTGTAGTATAATTGATATATTTTATTTGGATTGGGTCAACCCAAGAGTTTTGTCCCATGAACTTGAAACCAAACCGAGTTAATTCGAGTTCAGAAAAATGAACTCAAACTAACCCAAAAAACTAATCTAACCCAATCTGACCCTTATAGTTCGGGTTAGGTTGGTCCGAGGTATCGGGTTGAATATACACCCCCACTGAAGATTAAAAATTTTCATTAATACACTTCAACTTGTTTTTTTATTATTAAAAAATATTCGGTTAGTATCATATTTTAAAAAACACCTAGCATTAACAAACCGTTAAATTTTATAAAAAAAATAACGTCAAAATTAATAATAAATACATTTGTCATTTTAAAAAAAAATTATCGATATTTTTTAACTTATTTTAAGAAATGGTAAAATATTAGTGAGAGGTTAAAAATTTTAATAATATTTTTAAAATAAAATATATAATAAAAAGAAATTTTTATTAATTTAATGCATAAAAAAAACTAGTTTTGGACTGTTATGTGCATACAAACAATAAAACGATTCGGGGCATCAAGTCATGTTGTAATTATTTTGTTCCATAAAAGGGTATGGTCCACTGATTATTATAAACTCATAATTATTTCATTTCAATTTTAAACTCTCTATGTTTCTTTCCAAAAAAAAATGTTTTTACTGTGTGAATCTTAAGATCCAATCTTTGAATATATCGGAAATTCTATGTAACGTCGTTTTTACTGTGTGAATCTTAAGATCCAATCTTTGAATATATCGGAAATTCTATGTAACGTCGTTTTTACTGTGTGAATCTTAAGATCCAATCTTTGAATATATCGGAAATTCTATGTAACGTCTTATTTAGACTTTCTGTCTGGGCTTGATATGTTACAAATGGTATCAGAACCAGATATCGAGCGGTGTGCCGACGAAGATGCTGACCCCAAAAAAAGATAAATGGTGAAATCTCACCTTGGTTGAAGAGGAGAACGAAACATTACTTATAAAGATGTGAAAATGTGATGTCCCACATTGGTTGGAGAGGAAAACAAATCATCATTTATAAAGGTGTGGAAACTTGCCGTAGCAAATGCATTTTAAAACTTTGAGGGGAAGCACGAAAGGGAAAGCCAAAGAGGACAATATTTGTTAACGGTGGATTTGGGTGGTTACAAATGGTATTAGAGCCAGACACCGGATGATGTGCTAGCCTTCTCGCTGTTCCTCGAAGGGGGTAGACACGTGTGCTAGTCTTCTCGTTGTTCCCTGAAGGGCTCGCTTTTCCTCGAAGTGGGTGGACACGAGGCGGTGTGCCAGTAAAGACGCTAGCCTAAAGGGGGTAGATTTGGGGCCGGTCCCACATCGATTGGAGGAAGGAAAGTGTGCCAGTAACGACGCTGGCCTTGAAGGGGGTGGACTGTGATGTCACACATTGGTTGGGGAGGAAAACAAATTACCCTTTTTAAAGGTGTGGAAACCTTCCCAGAAACCTTAAAGAGGACAATATCTACTAAAAGAGGACAATATCTACTAGGTTACAAAAATTATTATATAGTAATAATGCATATCATAATAAGCCCAAAACTTCCATCACATTCTTTAGGGAAACATAGAACAAAAGTTGAAGGCAGTCAATTGATAAGAACAATGCACGATGAAGATGATAATAATACACACAAAACAGTTCTTAATTTACAGGAAGAGGAGTCCCATCCCAACGCTCAAGGCATTCAAGCAGAGGATCAATGATCTTCCCCTCACAAATTGCAGTAAAAACCTTGTCAAATTCTTCCCCTGGTGACCTAACCTTTTCCCCTGTCAACAGCGCCGTTCCCAGTTCTTCTCTGACAAATCTATAAAGTGGGTATGATCTACAATCCTTGATCTTGTTAGGAATCGTCGCTTTCCCTTTAGCAATGGCTAATCTTCCACTTTCTACTTCTTTAGGCAAATGGGTTTTCAGTTCCTCCTCGAAAGCTCCAATCTTTAAGAAGATTGAAGCGTTTGTGTTCTTCAGATCATCATCGTTGTTCAATGCATGTTCTACAAAAACTTGCCTTAGCTTCTGCATTAATGGATATGTCATGCTGCAGGGGTCGTCAATGTAAGCATAAACATGTTCTCTGTCGATGACTTTGAGCAAATCCTTCTCGCAGAATCGTGAAGGAAGAAGCTCTCCGTTTACACCAATGGTTAATACCTTCTTAGCCACTTGACTCACTGTGTTCTTCACTGTGTTCTTCAGATTCTCCTCTATGTGTCTCAAATCTATGGCTTGGCAGAGTGCCACTAGGAATGTCGTGCTCATTAGCTTCAAGATATCTATGGCCTCAGCTGTTTTTCTCGAAGAGATTAGTCCTAATGAGTTTACATCTTGATTGTGTTGCTCTGCGCTTTGAACATGATTGGTGACAGGATTCGCCAAGAATTGTAGCTCCGAGCAGTAGGAAGCCATGGCGATTTCAGCTCCTTTGAATCCATAATCCAAGCTTGGATTACTTCCTCCTGAGAGATTTGAAGGTAACCCATTGTTGTAGAAATCATTCACAAGCTCCGAGAATTGAGCAAACAAAAGCTTCCCAATTGAGGCAAGAGCTAATCTAGTATTGTCCATGGATACTCCAATTGGAGTTCCTTGAAAATTGCCTCCATGTATAGCTTTGTTCCTCGAAACATCGATCAATGGATTGTCGTTCACCGAGTTGATCTCTCTCTCGATCGATTTCGTCGAATGTCGAATCACTTCGATTTGAGGGCCTAACCATTGAGGTGATGTTCGTAGAGCATAACGGTCTTGTTTTGGCTTTTGAAGTGGGTCTAGTTCGTGTAATTTCTTAGCGTCTTTAACGAAAGCACTCCCTTCCAAAATGTGCTCCATAATGGCAGCTGCCTCGATTTGGCCTGGATGGTGCTTCAATTTATGAGTTAAATGGTCGGTGAACTCTGGCTTCCCCTGCATTACTTCAGCAAAAATGGCTGATATCACTTCAGACAAAAGAGCCAATAAATTGGCTTCGAACAGAACAATAGCCGCTAAACCAGACCCAACGCCCGTGCCATTCACAAGTGCAAGACCCTCCTTAGGCTGCAACTCGAAGAATCCACCGCCGATGCCGGCGAGTTTAAAGGCTGCTCCAGCGTCAACCACCTGACCGGCTGGGCCGACAGCCTTGGCATTGGGTCGGCCAGTCAAGAGACCAGCGATGTAGGAAAAGGGTACCAAATCACCGGACGCCGTGATGGTGCCTCGCAGAGGAAGACAAGGTGTCACGTTGTGGTTGAGAAGCTTCGTTATAGACTCCAAAATCTCAAATCTGATGCCGGAATAGCCTTGGAGAAGGGTGTTGATTCTGACCAACATGGCGGCTCTTGTGGCCGTGTGCGGCAGCGTGTGGCTCGTCTCCGTTCCATTCCCGAATATTCCGGCATTCAAAAACCTGATTTAAATACAACCATATTGTCCACTTTGAGTATTTGGGGCTTCCCCAGAAACGTGATACTAATAGAGAGAATATTCTTGATTTATAAACCCAAGATCATTTCCTAAAATTAGTAGACTTCCATTCATTCTTTTAACCACGTGGTATGTAACTTCCCTTTTGATTCTGATTTAATATTTTAATAAATGGATCAAAATTAAAGTTGGATCTTAAATTTATGCTTCAGAATTTGACAACAAACGGATTTGACTCAAAATAAAAGGAAGGTAGTCAGCTATAATAAATGCATTTATGACATTAATAATCCATCCAAAAAGTCAGTAACTCAGCAATAAATAAATAACTGTAAAATGTTAAAAATAATTATTCACAATATTTACCCTCCCGCGTCGAGTTAAAACTACTTTCTACTGTGGTTAATTCTCGGTAGTAGTTTAATTTACATGGTGACAATCATATTATATAAATTCTCGAAATTCAACAAATATAAATATAATTTAATAAAATAAATAAATAATTAATTAGGCAAAAGTACCTAATAAGTTCCTTCTGCAAGGCAGCGCCTTGGTTGGTCCTACGGTGAGAGGTAGCACCGAACCCAGTAGTGACGCCGTAGCTATCAGTTCCTTTCTTCATACTGTCCATCACCCAATCACTGCTAGCCTTAACTCCTTCTCTCGCCGATTCGTTCAGTTCCACTCGCACTCCGCCGTCGTGCAAGGCAACTGCCGCCACCTGCCCAATTGTCAGGCTCTCTCCACCGAGCCGGACCACGGCCCGTCGGTACTCCTCCACCATTCTCTTCACCTCGTCTACATGGCTACCTTTGAGCCCCTCCGCTGCTGCCCCCCAGTACAATGGATCCTTCAGGCAAAGCCCATCCACTGAAACGTGGCCATTGGTGCAGCCGGTGGGTTCCATTAACGAAGGTCGGAGAAGGGGGTTGGGTTGGGTAACTAGAGCGGTGGGCTAGCTTTCCCTGAGGGGGAAGAGGAAGAGGTTGTGAAATTCTTAAATAGAGACACAAAGCAAATGGTGTGTGTGTGTGTGTGTGTGTAAACCGCCATGGGTTGGAGGATTACAAGAAGGGGTTAGTTGGAGGAATTTTGTGGCCGTTGGATTCTTTTTTGTTCCTTTCCACACTTGGGATTTTGACGCGTGGCAATTATAAGGGGTCACATGATTAAGTTGCCAGAGATGTAGGGGGTTGGTGGAGTGTATGGTGCACGGTCGAACACATATTTTAAATGACCATTTCACCCCTCTCTTTATCCTAAATTACTCCTATACCAACTACCCCTTTTTTTAACCCCAATTAAATTATTCTTGAGTTACAAATTATTAAATTCGAGATTAATTCTCACAAATTAAAATAAAAAAAATAAAAAACAAATTGCCCTAAAATCGAAGCTCAAGTTCACTGAGTTAAATTAAACACCCAAATTCACGTCAAAATAAAACAAAAGCTCTCATTCACAAAATTCTTCCGACCCATAAACCTCTAATTTTTACTGCCACGTGGATGGTATTTTTTGGGTGGAGTGGCACGTGCGAAAGGCAAGATAGTCAATATAAAAAGATAAAATTTCTAAAATGCCCAACAAAAAAGAAAAATAAAAAGAAAATAAATGGAAGGTCATGTTTGGAATTTCACACTATACACCCACCTTTCATTTTATATTAATAATGTTTATAATGAATAAAGTTATTTAATATCCCAATTTTTTATTAAAAAAAATCGAATATATATAAAATGAAACTTTATGTTGTAGTAGGTAGGTTGGACGTTGGAGATCATCTAATCTTCTTTACAAATCTTAATTTATTGATTGGATTTCACAATATTTCTCCACCTAACCCAACAATAGTATAAACTACAATTAAAATAATATTTATATTTTAGTCACGATTTAATCTAATTTATATATTTAAAGTATGTTTTAAATGTTAGTGTTTATTAAACTTGATAAATAATTATTTTATTATCATTAATGAAAAGCTATTTTGTAGAGTATTAATTATTAAACATTATTTTTAAAAAAATAACAATAATTTACTTAAAGTTTACTTAAACATTCATTTTATTTCCCCTTTTTCTTTTATTTTAATTGATGTCGAAAATTTTAATTAATTGTATTTATGAGTGTTAAAACGATTAGAAAAACCAATCATCCGTGTGATTTGAGTGCAAATAAACAAAAAAACTTTACAGATTAGTTTGAATGGAAAGTCGAAAAAGTAGCATATTTGCTCGATACGAATTTGGGTTGTTACAAATGGTATCAAAGTCGAACTCTAGGACATGTGCCAGCGAGGAAACTGGCCCAAGAGAAAGTGGATTGTTAGATCCCACATATGCGAATTTGGATTGTTACAAATTGTATCAAAGTCAGACACTAGGACACGTGCCAGCGAAAACACTGACCCCAAGGAAAAGTGGACTGTCAGATCCCACATCGATTAGAGAGGGGAATGAAACATTTCTTATAAGAGTGTGGAAATCTCACTTTAGTAGTAGCGTATTAGAAACACGATCCGTTGTTACATTTATTATTGATTTTAAAATACATATTTTATTTATTTAATATATTTTAAAATAGAGATAAATTTTAATTAAACTGTATAAAAATATGTAAATAAATTTTGGAGTCAAGTGGGGTTCGAACCCTAGTGTTAAAAAGGGAAAACAACAAACAAACAATGAATGAATGAGAAGATAGAGAATTCAATGCACCTTCCCAACTAAATTACACATTTTATTTATTTATTATAACATTGTTTTAATTGCATAACTAATATTAAGATATATTATTTATGAAATATATCTTAGATATTATATTTTAATATTCTTTTCTTTATGATTTGATTTATAATATATTTTATTTTATTTTTAATATTTAATTAATTTATATTTTCCTCGTTACATATTAATTATTAGTTTGTATCCTATTTAAAGGATATCAATATCAACGAGAATACACACTTCTCAATTCTATTTCTATTTTTCTTAATAGACACACTTTAAAATCGTAAGGCTAAAGACGAAGGCAGCACGTGGCCCATGTTTCCGCCCGTGAATTTAGTTGAAATTAAGTATATCAACGAAAAATAACAAAGCTACGGTGGCAGGTGGGCCCAATTTTATAACCCTCCTGTTATACGTGTGAAAAAATATTTAAAAATAATATATTTTTAATTTGGGCCAATCCACTAAGAAATCATAGGCCCATAATTTGGGCCCATCGTCGTTGTAGATCTAGTGGGCTTCAGATGCAGCCCAAACCCATTTCAAATCCATCTTAAAAAGGCCTGTAGCCCGTAATATTTTAGGCCCATTTCATAGTCACCTCGTTTTTTATTTTCTTAATTTTAATTTATTATATCTTCAACAATTATTTTAATAGCTGAAATTTCCTTTGGGAAGACTATTTCCTTATTTGGAATAAGACTTGCCAATATTCAATGACATATATTAATATAATATTTGGTTGTTTTCGATAATGAGGATATATTTTTTTAAACAAAATAAAATAATATTAAATCATTGAGTCATCGATACGAAAACTTCAAGTAATCAATGATTTTAATTATATGGTTACGTACTTTAGTGTATAATCAAATATTATATAAATAATTGGTTAAAATTAAAATAAATTTGTTGAATATAAGATTTTAGATATTATATAATAATTACATATTTTGTTTGTAAAAAAAAAAAAAAGACTTGCAAATGAGAGTCCACTAGAGGTTGGACTCATGCAAAATATTTTTTAAAGTGAAATACTTTTCAACGGTTGATTTTTAAAAAGTAATAATAAATAGGTAGAAATATGACCTTAAAAACCTTAAAATAAATAATATAAAGCCGTTTAGAGCTAGGGATGTACGTGAATTGGGTTGTAAAAATGTTTTGAATAATCTGAAATTTTTGGTTGGTTGAGTTTGTGACCCGAGCAACTCGAACAAATTACACTATCTAACCTAACCCCAACTATTTATTTTTGGGTTGAGTTGGGTAGGGCTGTGGGACGTGGGGATGTTGTTTTTTATAATTATTTTTAAAATCATATTTATCTACCGTACATGTTACTTAATAATTAAAATTTCATAAAACTCAAATATCAATTATTTAGGAGTCACTATACATGATAAGTAGGGTTTGATTGGATTCTAACCGTGTTTTCGAGTTGATTGAGTTGACTCTGCAAAGAAAAAATGTCAAACTGTGAACTGATAAGTAGGGTTTGATTGAATTCTAACCATGTTTTCGAGTTGACTCTGCAAAGAAAAAATGTCAAACTGCGAACTGATAAGTAGGGTTTGATTGGATTCTAACCCTATTTTTTCAGTTGATCGAATTGACTCTGAAAAAAGAAAAAGAAAAAGAAAAAACTGCGAACTCATAAGTAGGGTTTGATTGGATTCTAACACCATTTTTGAGTTGATCGAATTGACTTTAAAAAAAAATGTCAAACTACGAAAATAAGTAGAATTTGATTGGATTCTAACCCCATTTTCAAGTTGTTCTAGTTGACTCAAAAAAAAAAAATGTCAAACTGCGAATTGATAAGTGAGTTGACTCTGCAAAAAAAAAAAAAAAAAGTCAAACGGCAAACTCATAAGTAGAGTTTGATTGGATTCTATCCCTATTTTGGAGTTGATCGAGTTGATCTGCAAAAAAAAATTGTCAAACTGGGACGGACTTGAATTTTATTTAGTTTTTAAAAAGTTTAACCCAATCTAAAAAAGATCCCGCTCAACTCAATTTTTATAATTTTAATTGAGTAATTCGAATTAGAATTCTCAAGTCATACGAACGCCATCACCTTTAACGTTTTTATTTTTAAAATGAATAATATTTATTATTGGATTATTGGTGTTAGGGTCAAAAAAGGACGCTCTGAATCTGTCCATTCCAATCAGCCGAAATCCTTTAACAACACCACCCAGATTCAACTTGAAATGTTTTCGTCCTTTGAATCACATTTTTTTAATTATCTTTTTAAACATTATAGGGTCAACAATTCCACTACAAATTAAATTCAAAATTTAAATTTTATATCTAATAAATCAATTTAAAAAACTAATAAAAACGGTGGGAAGTTCGGGTTCGGTGGAATACATATGGTTGTTTAGATTTTTCTTTTATAAGACGTGTTAGTATTAAATTCGTGGGGACTTTATGATTATTATTATTATATGCATATAGCTGTGAGTTGTGGTTGAGATAGACGCATTCGAAACCGGTGGCCTTCTAGTTGCTGTAGGCTAAATGCGTGCTTTTTCCATCCATAAATCTTATACTACTATTTCAGTATGGATATTTCTTGCATTTATTACGTGTCGTGTTAAAAATTGTGTTATAAATGACGTGGGGTTCTATCAGTGTTACATATTATTTGTAAATCTTAACATTCTTTAACTAGTTTATGCGCGTATTTTTTATTTAAAAATTATGGGTTTGAATCGAACCACTTTCACGTCCAAATTGTAGCCCTCTAGGTATAGACCATCACGGTTTTGTTAGGGCCTAATTTTCAAAATGTTCTTCCTTTCTTTCTTCTACCACCCACTCACCTCACCCCTTTTCAACTGTGACAGGGAAGCTACCTACAATAATTTAACAATCTAAGTTCACTGTTAATAGATACTGTTTACTTTAGCTTATTATGTATCGCTATTAGCCTCATAGTTTTTAAAACGCGTACGTTAGAGAGTCGTTCTCCTCTCCAACTAATGTGGAATCTCACAATCCACCTCCCTTGAGAGCCAGAGACTTTCCAACCGACGTGGGATCTCACAATCCACCTTCTTAGGGGCTAACGTTCTCGTTAGTACATTGTAACGCTTAGGCCTATAGGTATTGAGGAACTTTGCTTGTATATCTAAAACAAAGTGCAATGGTTGCTACAGATTATCTTATAATCTTATTGATTTATCTCTCTAACGAAAAATTTTAGAGGCATAAATAGACCGTTCTTCGAACATGTAAGAACATATT